TAGCTGAAACGACTCTTTTGGGCAAGCTTTCACTAATTTATCCAACGATGATGCCATAAAACTTAACGAGTCTAAAAATCGTAGATTTCCTATCGAAAACGAAATATACTTTTCTGAATTTTTAGCGATCACTTGTATTTCTGTTTGGCTATCGTATTCTGTCATTCCCTGCATGATTAAATGCGCGTCGTAATTTTGTAAATTGTGAAAAAAGACCGGTATCGGTGTACAACCGGGTTTAATTTGTAGTTTGAGGTTACAATAAGCGTGTGCAGCACCCCTATATTTACCAGTGACGTGGCAGTGATCTCTCACCTTTCTAAATTTATTGATTCTCTTTTTACAGTCGAGACATTTAGACTCGGTAAATCCCTTTTTGTTTTTGCACTGATATTCTTTCATTTGTTTTATCGTCTTGGGTTCTCTGGGTTTCTGGCACTGACAGTTGCTCGAGTAATTGGGATAAATTGGTTTTTCACAAATCCAACACGCGTTTGTTTTATCGTGATGATCTTTAGTTCGCTCGTTAAATTTCATGGCTTGGGGTTTTTCAAATATGCAATTAATATCGCTTTGTAATTGTAACAGCGTCGTTATAAATCTAGTTGAAGCGTCTTTGCCTCTATAAGTCTCTTGATACACATTTTTACCGTCGCATCGGACGACAACTAGCGAATAACCGCTAGCTTTGTGAACGTTAATCTTTTTTGTGTTTGTCTCTTTGTCTGAGTGAGTAGGTTTAGATGTCAGTGTCTGTGTGGGTGTTGTTGTTTGTAGTATTGATTCAAAGTCAGCATAAATGACAAATGGTGCTTTTTGTTTGTGCCTATAGTTTTTAAATTCTAATATCGCTACGTCTCTTTCGCCTGGTTGCCCGTCTATGTATTTTGGTTTACCCAGAGGAAATACAATCTTTGATGGATGCGCATCTATACCCTTACAATCGGCGATATGTCTGTCTAATTTGTTTTGATTGGTAAAATGACATAGACATCTTCGACAAAAATATTTCTTACATTTATGTTTCGTAACGTCGTACATCAACCTCGTAAAATATTTTATCCAACAATAGTGATGCTTGTCACCTTTAGAAATCAAAAGCAGATCGATCTCTTTTACCCCGTAGTTTTTAGACACGTATAATGGATATATTTTACCCTCATAACCGTATACGTTTATCGATAAATTATTTTGTCTTTCTATCTTGGGTATCTGATCGACCGGTGTCGGAAAGTCAACGCCTTTAAAACTGAGTCCGTCGTCTTTGGTGTATACAACGGGTTCTTCTTTATGAATTTTATATTTAGGATTATTTCTTATTTGATTTTTTACTTTATCCGTATACAACTCAAGAGCAGCTCTCAAACACCATCTCAAACACTCGTCGTCTTTGTTTTTGATGTTTATCATCGCCTGCTTAATTTTAAGATGTTCGGGTAGGTTTATGTAAGAACTACCTCTCGCTGGATTATATCTGTTGAGGTTGATGTATAACGCCATTATCTTTTTTAAAACCCAACCCGATCCTTGATTCGTATACCTTTCATCCTTTTTGAATAGCTCTTCGATCTCTTCTTTTAAAACCTGTTTTATTTGACTTTGATTTAAAACGGCTTTCGGCTTGCTATAATGAATAGCTTCGATCGTTTCGATCGTACCATCCGGTTTGGTTTTTTCGTATTTTATTTTGATTGTGAGCTCCATTTTTAAACCTCTCAGCTCTCTCAATTCTGACTTGATTTTATTGACTATTTGTTCCTTGTGCGAATCAAAAAACTTGATTAAATCGTGGTTATAAAGTCTGGGGTTTAATTCCCAGTTTCTGTAGTAATTTCTAAACCTTCTCGTTTCTCTAAAAGCTGACTCTGTAAAGTATTCGGGTTGTCTGTATGTTTTAATCGCCGAGATTAAATCTTTTTTCAAAACTCGTCCTTTATAACCCGTCGGTACGTATTCTAGATTTTGTTCGTCTACAATCTGTTTGAGCTCATAAAGTTTCTTTTTCCTCAAGTTTTTAAATTTACTTTCATATTTTTTTATCCCCTCGATGTAGACTTTACGAGTAAGAGAAACATTTTCATTGTGCGGTATACTATACCGCTGCACGTAATCACGCAGCGTGGCTTTGTTCCATTTAGAATATCCTTTGACGGTCGGTCTAAACATATTACTCTCCACTTATTATAGGAAATATAATATTTTTTTTCTCATTTTTTTTGGAAGACAGACTTTAGATTTATAAGCAATCAGACTCACCTCATTTTAGCGACGACAGATTTTTAATTTTTTTAACTCCACAGCGACAGGCTCTGACTTGGCACACTTTTTTTTCTCTCTCTCTCCCGGCGTCAGATATTTTTTTTTTTTTTCTCTCTCTCTCTCTCTCTCTCCCGGCGTCAGATTTTTTTTTTTTTTTTTTTTTTTGAGATCGGGGGATACCCCTATTTTTCCAAAACCGAGAGCGGCGTGCCCGGGCTCGCCGCAGATTTTTTCGATTTTGGTCCCGTACCCCCGCCCCCCTTACTACTCCAAGTCTGCGGCGCGCTCTCTTTGGAATAATACGCGCTACGCACAACGCGCAACGCGCACACCAGCATGCATTTGCACACAAATACCGCGCCGTGGAAATAGTACTTTGGTTGCTAATGGTATAGTACTTTGGTTGCTATGCGCATAGTACTTTTGGCCGTGCACAGAAAAGATAGCAAAATTAGAAAGTAACATGTGAATCGCTCTCGGCCAATCAAGACACAGAATCTGTGGGTGAGGTGTTATAACATTCAGTATAGCATGCGAATGCTATGAATGAATGTTATCAGTCCATAGAATCCTCATATAGCATTCATTGAGGTACAGCAGTCCGATAGCAGTCCGATAGCATGTCAGGAAGTCGAATTATTTAAATGAGCTATATCATGCGCATGCTATTAGGAATGCTCTCATAGCATGCAGCTGGAATGCTATGGGATAGCATGTGAATGCTATTTTGCATGCTATGTGAATGCTATGTGAATGCTATATTGCATGCTATGTGAATGCTATCATGACTACTATCGTGACATGGACAGGGCCGGGCATCCTACAATTACAAAATACATTTTCAATGTCACAATTCACCCCAAATTACTCTTGTGTTAAAGCTGTACATGTATCTAATAATTTTATGTATTGAACCATTTTTAACAACACATTTTGGAATTTAAAAGACCTATTCTGTGGACTGCAATCAAAATATATAAACAATAAAAAATTGTTCTTTAAGACTTTATCATCAGCCTCATTCTTTGGTGTACGTACAAAAATCGAAACAGTTTGTCTAACATTGTCATGCTTATAAAAGCAATGGCCAGAAATTTGATGCAACTATTTCTGCTTAATTTGAATTATCTTTGAAGCAACCATTAGTCACTTGTATATCTGGCATCACAATTTAAAAACAATTACATGTATTTGCGCTTCTGTAGCTGATTCAAAAATTCAATCATGGAGGAAGGAATATGTTTAAGACTTCGCATCTCAACACCATGAACACCAGCATGCTCAAAACCAAAATAAAATTGTCTTCATCAAGCCAAAAATTGAATACCACCACAGCCTACTAGTACAAAACTGTACACTTACCAAATACAAGCTGTTTTGTGAGTATGTTGCACGTATATGGAGGCCTCCAAACTGTTGCTTTGAAGTTGTCAATTCCAAAGACTTCAGCTAATCATCCAGTGTACATGTATTTTGTCATGTAAAGGTTTAGTGCGTGCATGTGAACATGAAATTATGTCCACAAGCATTCATGCCATAAGCTAATGTCAATGCTTTCTACAGTTTCATGCAAGACTAGTGCAGCCTACTGCACTCTGCGCTAACAATATTCAACTGACTGCAGTTTTCAAATTTCCCACACTGACCGTTAATCTGTGGAATGGAAGGTCATCACTGTGTCATGTGACTTGTAGTCCATGATACGATAGGCTTTTATATTGGAATGCTATTTGCAGGCTATGCTGAGCCACGGAATGCTATACTTTAAAATTATTTTACAACTGACTGCTAAATTGGAATGCTATACTCAATTTGCAGTCCTCCCACTTTCACTTGCATGCTATGTGGAATGCTTTGAAGCTCGTATGCTATTTGGAATGCTATTTTCATTCTGCATGCTATCGAGAATGCTATATGGACTGTTAAAGTTAGCAGTCATCAAGTCATCATCATCTGTGAATGCTATGTGAATGCTATAATAGCATGCACATGCTATTGGACTGCTATTGGACTGCTATTATAGCTAGCCCCATTAATGTGGCTCAAAGTAATGGTCTTCCGTTCCTTGCTATATGGAGCCACACAGTGGCCATATGCTATGTGTAGGGAAAAGTTTATTTGAAGGAAAATGGGTCCCTTGATATTCACCATGGAAGATACTTACCCGTTTAATAGCTAGAGAAAAATAAATATTGTTTCTGAGGTGTTGAATTATATTTTCAGGTAAAATTTGCAGTAATAGTTTGTCTCAAAAAGTTTGCACTTGCAGTACTCTTCTCTGGGTCACAGGTTTTGTACACATTCTTGATCTTTTGATTGTCCTTCTTTATTTACAAGGTATCTTGCCTGGTGAATATCAAGAGGAAAGTAGTCGCGATTTCGATTTCCTCAAAATAAATTTTACACCACATTCAGAGTATGACCATGTACTGTGTTGCTCACAGCAGAGGAAGCCCTGTATTTGAGCCACAAAAAAATATAAGAGGAAGAGTAACCATCTGGTGGAATAATTAACATGGTAGGCCTACTTGGTATATACCTCCTAGCTTCCTTCACTTTTCTTATTGAATCGACATAGTCTCAATTGTTTCCGGGTTTTTACCATCAATGTCCCTCTTTATGTGCCGTTAATGGAATCCCAATAAGCCGCCAGTGTACTATATTGTTATGTAAAATCTAGTTTATGGGGGGGGGGGTAATATTTGAATTGAATTTGTGAATCGTTCCCTTTCAGAACCAAATAAAGAAATGGCCACCGGTACATCATTTGATCACTATAAGTTCATCAAAAATCATCTTGAATGCAGCATCTGTCAGGACACTTACAACCAACCAAAATCTCTGGACTGTCAACACAGCTTCTGCAAGACTTGCCTTGAGACATACCACGAGGGCAGGTATGCAGGCGCAAGTAAGATATACTGTCCATTGTGTCGACAAGAGACACCACTTCCAGAGACCGGTGTGCAGGGCCTGAAAACGAACTTCAACTTGACTAATATGCTGGATGATATCTCCCGACAAGAAAAGGATAAGTCGACACTGAATTATCTGGAAGATCCAAGAAGATGTGGCAAGCACAATGGGATGGTTAAACAATTATACTGTGAGTTATGTGAAGAGTTAATTTGCCGAAAATGTGCCAAATGTAACCACAGACACCATGGGTATATTGACAAAGAAACTGCATCTTTGGAACAAAGACAGTCACTGAAGGACTTATTCCCATCTCTGGAGGAAAAGATCGACGAATGTCAGCAAGCCCTGTGGGCTACATCTGGAGCTAAAGACGAGTTTACGAGTATGATAAGGCAGACAACACAAAAGGTGCAAGAAAGGGTTCGCCAGATCCGAGCAGTTGTATCGAAACAGGAGGAGCAGCTATTGACTCAGATCAAAAAGATTGAAAGGAAATACAGCAATACCTTTGATCACCATGAGGAAACAGTGAGGGAGTTGTTGCACAAAGCACAACGGTCGCTGGAGACGGCAAAGGACACCGTGGATGTCGCGTCAGATGGTGACTTTCTCTCTCTCTACCCGCCGGTGGTCAGGAAAGACTTGCGGAAGCTGAGTTCTCATCAACTTCCCGCTGTCGACCTTAGCTTTCCAGACATAACGTTCAAAGGGTCGATTTCAGGTGTGAATGATGCGGGCACAAGCATCGGCACGGTGATGCTACACACATGGGAAAAATTCTCCGAGTTTGGCGATTTCCAGTCGGCTTGTGATGTTGCCTCTGTACGTAATTCTCAGCCTGACGAATTTGCAGTGATAAATTGCTGTCCCCAAAACGGATCGGTGGGAATCTACAGATGTACAGGGTACCACAACAGCCAAGGCTGTAAAATCTCGAAAACTAATTCATTCAGAATTTGCGGTAAGTAACTGAAAGCGAGCTGCACCAGTCTTTACTACAATCATTAGCAACCCTATTAATTTTTAATCAAAGCCCCACAACCCCTTTTTGGCCATAATATGTGAATACGTGTTCATGTATACACTGCAAAAACGGTAGTGTTAATTTTACACCATTCGGTATCTATATAGGACAACACCTTAACACCAGATGGTCCTATATAGATACCAATGGTGTAAATTTAACACTGAAGTTTCTGCAGTGTATTTAAATTGTGAAAGCTTTCAAAATAACGCGGTTTTTTTTAATTGCTTCCCCTTTCGCTTTTGGCATTCAGTCTTAGCCCTGGTTAGAAATATAAATGCTACGCATAATCCTGGGCTAATGAATGAAACCACGCCAGGTCCGAGATGTCTGAAGAAATCTCAAGATAAACAAATATGTTCAGCGTCGGTTTTGATGGAGTCAAGCCCGGTGTAGTGTGAAATTTAGACTCTCTGAAATACGTACTATTTTAATTTGTTGTACTGCGCAAGTGTGAGGGTCAGGATACATACTTCGCTCGTACCCACTCCCGCCCTACAAACAGGACGCTGGGATATACATGTAGGCTGATAAATTTACTTCTTGATTGGATAGATTTTACGTAACCTGTGACCTGCAAGTCATCACGACCACGACCCTGCAAGGTTTCAAACGGCCGTTAAGACTAAGTCATCACTCTTTTATTCCAATCATAAATATTTTTTTTCGTTGAAAAGCGTGATAACGTAGGATAATATGTGAAGCTGATCTGTTTTGTAAGTTTTCAATTCCCATCACTTGATCAGGCTCCGTTTTGAATTCACGAAAGGTCAAATTGCATATTATGCGACGCTCAAAATTTGTCCACGTGGTCCGCAATGAAAAAGAAATCACATCCGGTATGGAATGTGTACATTTCTACGAGAAAGTTTTCGGATAGCATTTGCGCGCATTGGCTAACTGTGGTCGCAAAGTAACGGCTGCAGCCAGATGCTTTATACATAGGTCATGATAAATTACCCAGAATGCCATCCCACTTCCTTCACAAGATTATGTAAAGCTCATCAGCGTGTCCCAGCGCCCTGTTTGCAGGGCAGGGGTACGAGCGAAGGTACATACAAAGTTAAAGAGGCAAGATTTCTTAGCGGTCAACATTTCATATTACACCGACGAATTGAAAATTCGGGGAGGGGGGAGGGGATTGGTTAACCCCCTCATGCAATTTTTTTCGCTATGCCACTATACATGTTTAGTCTGGTTCCCAGACCTGACAATTATTCCCGACGCTCACGTCTAAATTGTAGGTCAGGCAGCCTCAGTGGCTAAAAATATTGACTTCCCTTTTTCAAAGATCGACTTCGTTTCCGAATTCACTTTATCACCTATAGTTGTGAAAATACAGTTTGATATTTCAGTGAGAAAACATTCACTAATGTTGACCCGGAAAATTCTCGAAGTTAGGCACCCAATAGCAGTGTTAGCGGGCGGTGCCGAAGGAGACCACGCCGAGTTTTGGAAAATCCTGGTAACGTTCGTCAAAATTCAAAACAGTACATATTTATATCCGATTGTCGACGAAATGTATTCGGCAAACTTCGGACATATTTAGAAAAAGGAGGCATTCCTCCCGTTTTAGTCACGTGACGTATATTTGTAATACAATGTATTACTGACGGCTACCCAACCTTGTCCCCAGGGTGTCGAACAGTACGCTCCCATCACTACCTGCTCTCTCACCCTGGTATTCGATTAATTTGCATGTGCGAGATTTTTGAACACGTATGCAAATTAGGAACAGTGGGGTGCCTGGATATGCGTTACATTAGCGTTTCTTTTTGTATGCGGTATCTGGGGTAAAAACAAAGCCAATTCGTCGCAGCGCGAGCACGGCGTGAGCTACGAAAACACGATTATTTTAATTAAACTGTTACGATCTTATCGATACAACATGCAGTATCATATCTCATATTAATATGAGCAAATTGGAAAAGAAATTAGTATTTTCGAGAAGGCGTGGACGAATGATCGCGAAAACACGCACTGCACGTTATGAAAAATAGCACCAAGTACACGATAAAAATCCATTACTAGCCAAATGCGGTATCGAATCAGGATACAGAAAGAAAGTTTCCTATCCAGGGCTTACTTTTGGAAACTAGGTTGGAAATAAAGTGTGCACTGGGGACGAGGTTGACGGCTACCTGACCTAAGATTCATCAGGAATAGTCACAATCTTTTGGTCTGGGAACCAGACTAGCTTCTATACATGTTTGTTTTTGATTTCTTCTTTTTTCCCACAGCTCCAAGCGGAATCAGTGTGTGGGATGACACTCTGATAGTTCCATCTGTCCATCACCAACGTGTCTGGACCTTTCCAAAGCACTTCCTGGACAATGGTACAATGAAGCATGGTAGCTTCTACACATTCCAACATCACGAAGCCGTTGGATCATTGTGTGAATATATCATGGCCGTGCTCGATTCTTATTTTAGTATAACTGCAATGCCGAGATCAGTAGCAGTCAAATCTAATGGTACCATAGTGATTGGTGATGTGTTAAGAAATGAGTTAACGGAGCACTCGCTTCAGGGTTCACTTCAACGCATAATAAAACTTGAAATAAAGCCTCAGTTTGTGGCAGTTGATGATGCCAAAGAGAGATTTGTAATTAGCGATTATCGAAAGGCGACAGTTGTTAAAAACGACGGTGCTGCAGAATTCAGCATTAAACCAGTTATCCGGGGCATCCCACAAGAGCAAACGACGTGTACAGGAGTCTGCTGTGACAACTCGGGCATCTACCTGGCGATGCACGGCGTAGAAAAAGGAACGGGTCACGTTCACAACTACAGTGCCAGTGGACAGTTTCTCAGCTGCATTGCGCAGAATCTGTACCAACCAATGGGAATCACAATCGTCGCGGACGGTCAGAAATTAGCTGTGGCCGATACAAGAACAGTGAAGGTCTACCATAAAGCCTGGTGTCCATATCGACGTTGAGCTAGACTTGATTCAAGTCGGAATTGCTTTAAGTCGGCATCCTAAAAAAAAAAAAAAATCACAAAAATCACGTAGTTTACATCTTTCAAGAAGCACGACAGGGTACACTTCAGCACGTGTTCCACTTCAGTACCGTATAACAATGCGCGCACACTGTAAGTAGCATATAAAGCTATATTAAAGCTAGAGTCCAGCATTTGCAGCGATCAAAAAACTGACGTAATTATTGTTGAAAAACATACTTGGTTGGAAGATAGTAAAGGGACTAAACCTTCTGTGAAATTATTCTTTCTGGCATGCTGTCATTTTGAAGAAATCAACGAAAGAAGGCCTTTCCAACGGTGTGTCACGCACCGTTGGAAATTTCCGTTAGAAGTTCGTTTTTTTTTATACGGCGAAGTGCGCGCCAGCGTTGACACGACGCATACGCGCGCGCCCTCTATAATTCGTCGGATCTATAGATATAGAATAAAAAGACGAGATCGGCATTGCGTACAGACGCGCGTTCTGCCATGGGCGGCACCATTTTTTTTTAGCGCGTGGGGCAAAAGTTGCGTTACGCGCACCTTTTTTCGTAGGTTTGTATGGAAAGACATATTTGTATGCCTGGAAAAGTGATATTTTTGACCTGTAGTAGTTATTTCAATAATAAAATTCAAAATGGGTTATCAAGCTGCATTTTCATTTCGACGTTTGGTCCATTTTATTTCTCGTATTCATTTCCCGTTTAAAAATGCAGGTGCGCTTTGCTTAAAAAAACATTGCATCCAGCTGTTTGAGTGTAATTTTCTTCATCAACAAACAGAACAATGATCATTTTGAACGTCTTATTTCCGTAGTTAGTGTTGCGTTGTCTTTTAATTTGAACTCACGGCAGCTTCAAGGGACAACACCCAGAATTTTTTTCTTCATTGTCCCTCAGGGTATGACATACGCCGTAATCAGATGCAGTTTTGTATTGTTGGATACTGGGGGCCGGGGATGCACGCCCCTCCCTAGCCCTTAACTAACTCATTTAAAAAAAAAATAGAACAAATAAATGTGTGTTATTTTGCTCTGGACCTCTAGTGGCTTGGATGGGTCGCGCTGCTCATCTTCAGTCAGGCTGGAGGCATTGATTTTCCTTAGACCCTCTTTTCCGACGGCTATCTTGATTTTGACTGCTTGTTTGGCTTGGTCTGTGATATCTTGGTCAGCAAGACATAATTCAATTCTCTGTCGGAAAATCTTAAATTCTTCTGCCAGATCACTGGCATCCCACTGCATTTCGGGGAATTTTGTGGCCATGGTTAACAAGGGACGGGCTGTGCCTGTGGGGAATCCACTATAATGGTAAGTATACAGGTGAGATAATATTGGTACTATATATTACCTTTTAAACAATGGGCATATAAAGACACAAACAATTTATGGCAATGTGATGCAATACTTAACACCAGTATATCATTATTTAAACCAAGATACAATGTAAGTAAAGTTCAGTTTGAGTCTGGCATGCAGTATTGTTTGGAAAAAATCAGTCCAGTCGATCAATACTGTCCAATAGTTCAGGTTGCTGTTGTGTGGTTCCAGCACTCCTGCAGATCCAGCTGTTTTCCGGTAGATCCCGCTGTTGTCCGGTAGGTCCTGCTGTATTCCGGTAAGTCCTGCGGTAGATCCGGCCGTTTCCGGTAGATCCGGCTGTTTTCCGGTAGATCTTGCTGTTGTCCGGTAGGTCCTGCTGTATTCCGGTAAGTCCTGCGGTAGATCCGGCCGTTTCCGGTAGATCCGGCTGTTTTCCGGTAGATCCTGCTGATTTCCGGTGGATTCGGCTGTTTTCCGGTAGATCCTGCTGATTTCTGGTGGATCCGGCTGTTTCCCGGTAGATCCGGCTGTTTTCCAGTAGATCCGGCTATTTTACGGTATGTCCAGCTGTTTTCCGGTAGATCCAGCTGTTTGCAAGCTGCAGCGTTAATCGGCGGAACAATATGACTGGTTCGGCCGTGGTTCGCCTCAGGTGAGGTCAAAGGTCAAATCCCGATAAGCGTGTGCGCGGGGGTAGTTCCAGGGTATGGCTCGCCGGAACTGCTTTTATCAACAAGCTGCACACAAGTCAATGGCGTTCACATGCAAAACGCAAAGTTATGTACGGCATGTACACTCAGTGATACTTTGTCAATCAAAAGGTTCGGACAAAACACTTACAATCGCCCTGTCCTCTGTCCGTGACTGTCGATTGCATACGCTGACTCGGTCCCTCAGCACATGTACATTTACGATATGTGCTATGCGGCAAATTTCCCCTGATAAACTGAACGGGAAAACTGGGTCGCTTCCGGCCAGTCTGTGGTCGTTGCGGGTACAGTGTGGGCTGGCGCGTATAGGCTATCACGCGTCACGTTGGCCGCTGGTGAACGGGGCTCTTCGCGTGCAGTGTCGGCTCAGTCCGATCGCTGTCGATGTCGGCTGCTGGACATCGATCCGTGCTCTGTCCGTGGCGGTCTTTCGTCTCGTGGAATAGAACATTCAATCTGTCACCGAATGAAATTATTCTTACCATCGCACTCACAAACATTCGTTATTTGTATAATAACACATTTTATATTTTATATTTATTTTATACACATTTTATCAAATAAGCTGACATTTATTTGGAGATTTTTTAGCAACGCACACTTCCATTTTGAAACGAAAAATTAATACGAGGGGAAAATGGAGCAATTAACTTCGAGCTGACTATCCAGCTTGATAATGCATATTGAATTTTGTTGGATACATAATAACTACTGGTATAAAATGTTACTTTTACGGAATGCAAGTTTGTGCACAAAGCTACGGGAATGTACATGTAGGTGCGCGTAACGCACGTTTTGCCCCACGCACTACTGCGCGTAGAGCGTCCATGCGGGAACGGGACAACTTGTGCACACTTTATGACGCGTATGCACGCGCTGCCGACCTAGTCTTTTTATTCTATATCTATGGTCGGATCAGTGCGCGACATCGCGTAGCTGCAATCCGCTCAGTGAGAACGTGTCTCGGACGCTGAATTCAGGCCCATTTCAAGACATGATTCAGCAACTTTTGATTTGAAATCGAGATCCTAGAATGTTGTTTTTCTCGAAAGTAGTCGATTATAACGATTATATGAAAACCATGCTTAAATAAAAGTCGTGTTGCCCAACGAACTTAAAGGGGCAGTAGGTCCTGAAATCCCCGAAAATTTATGTTTTGGATTGTTTACTTATCCTATTACAAACATCTGGTTGAAAGGAAACCAACCTTATGTCTTACCGTTCCCGAGAAAAAGATGGAAAAACCCCGCTTGTTTACATCGGACATGACGAAGTACGAATACGTTTTTCGTATCGTTCTCAGTGTACGATATAGACGTTGTGTGTCTCGGAAACAGCGGTGACCAATCACCAATGCACAAAAAAAGTGTTTCTTCAACGTCCGCAAAAGGCGAACACTTTACGAATGAAATCACAACTAGCTTCCAAGCAGCTCGAATTTATGGGGTCGCAAAAGTGGACCCCGAAATTCGTTCTCGCACGCATAATACAGGAATAACACAAAACGCCCAGTTTTGAAAGAATAGTTGTGTGGATGTTTATATCCCACTTTTAAATGTTATTTCCGATTAACATCGTCTCGTTCAAAGCGCGTTTTGTAGCCCAATGGGGCTGTTCCAGGACCTAGTGTCCCTTTAATCATCAAAGCTGAGTCCTCATGGACGTTTATTTGAAATTACAGAAGCACTGGCCATGTAGTGTAACAATTGTCCAGTGTGGAGGCATGGGGCAACTAAGGGGCGCTCTTTCTGGAAAGGGCACTCACAATTAAAAAGCTCAATGGGGTGTGGGGATTGGACGTACGGATCTCGAAAGGGGGGCGGAGCTATTATAGTTCCGGTACGGGATATCCAGATTTGTGTGGAGGTTGGGTGATAATTTGTAGGATGTGATGAAGAAAACCTTTTATATAAATCCATAAAGGCCTAACTTGGTGCGGAAATGTGCATACAGCCACGTTCGACGGATGCATGCTTGCATGTCAGCAAATGTATTTAGTTATCAATGTGTTTTTGTGATTAATTACCTAATGATCATAGTAGCTTCAATTAGAGGTTCAGTCACGTTTCTTGCTAGTAGTGGTGGTTTGTTTAATACACAAATTATATAACAAGTGAATTTTAAAAATAGATATTTTGTTACATTCTCAACTTGATTCAAATAGGAGTCTTAACATTTTCCCATTTTAAAACAGATTTCGACACACTGATCACAAAGTGGTCCTTGCCTTTGCCACATTTCCGCATAGTTACAACGCGTCAGTGCGATTGGTAATAGATGTATACCGTATTAATCGAATGAGGCCAATGTAACGACAGCAATTTTCTGGGCACGAACACTGTAGAGAAAGTCCCTTTATGTAAGCAGTAACTTGACTAAAATTTATTGAAGCAGTAACTTGAAATAAGTTTTTGTGTTGAACAATATTTTTGAGCCGTAAAATATGTACACATATATCAACCACCTTTGATTCAAATAGTTTTGGGACCCCAAATGGTACCGTTACAGCCCCTTCGCTTGCTCAGGAATAAACCTTATTCCAATGTCAAAGGGCAGCAGCCATTTCAAGGCATGCATCCTAAAAAAAAAGTTCATTAGGAATTATTTCAAATATGTACTTTTTTAAGCTTGGAAAGGATGTGTCTTATCAATTTTTTTTTTTTTAAAGATTACCAATTGCTGTAGTCAATGATAGATTTCATTGTGAGATTTGTTTGGCTTCTCAAAGGTGTTTCATTTCTCAAAGGTGTTTCATAGTAGAACTGAGTTGGGATACATCATTTTAATGAATTATACAAATTAAAAGGTTGCAGGTTAGTAGCAGTCATGTCAATTATTCTTTGATGTGTGTTGTGAGAACATCGGTGTTAAGGATGGTCTCAGAGACGTACTTTAAGGCTAACGTTTGTTGCCTCATATTGAAGAACAAAATGAAGCACTTCTGAC